ACTCCCGAATTTAGGTCTTTTTTCTTTTATCAACAACCAAGAAAGCACCCAATAATCAGAGATGGCGAATTCCAGGAGGCAGATGGAAGAGATAAGAGTCCTTCTGCCATCCCACGACAAGGCCTTAGCTTACAGTAAACTCTTGCACTTTCAAGAAATCGCAGCCGTCGATTCTTCTGCCATGGCGATACTCGCCGATTCGTGCCGCGCCATTCTTTCCTCCATTGTGTTCGACATTGCTAACATTGACGAGGAAATGTAAGCTTTTCGTTACTCTCCTTTCACCTGGTGTCTCTGCTTAACCGAGTGGAGTAATAGTTTCTTACTTGTTATCACGGGTCTCTCGATTATCAGAGCTGCTCAAGCGTTGAAGTGTTTGGGTTTCATGATCTACCATCCAAACATCGTGGCTTCTATTGGAGGTAGTTTTTTTGCCCCTCCTTAATTCTGGTTTTGATATTTGTAAGGAATTTATTGCTTTGCTTTTTGGCCCGACTCGTGGAAGTCGAAAGACTAAAGCATAAAATGGAGGTTCTGAAGTCATTTTGATTGAGGTTAAAGTTTTTCTTTTCCCCCGAATAGGTGATGATGCTGATGTAATAATCAAGTCACTTGTAAATGTCATTTCAGTAACAAGAATAAAGGTATCTTTGCTGTATTTCCCCTGTATTTTTGTGTTGCTTCCCTTTGAGTTATGACAAGCTTTTACATGTTCATTGCAGTCTGTTTGTAATTTAGGGGTGTGGTGTATATCAATCCAACAGTTCAGTCCATCCTTGTTGGACCATCACTTTCAGCCTTTAATTAGTGCAGTTACTCACGCCCTTGACAACCCTATTGGTTCTCTTTCAATAACATTTGAGGCAATGCAGGTGCTCACAATCCTCAGTTATCTTGCTACTTATGCTATGTGGATGAAATTTTGTTTTGCAATGTATATTCTGTAGTAAGCATGCTTTGACTTTGAATATCATGAAATTGTATCGCGTTAATTATCTTAATCTTGGGAAATACATTAGGTTCCAAAAGAATGTCTCCTTGAAATTTATTCGGGTCTTGATGTGCGATGTGTTTCATATGGTAGAATGTCGTGAGTATTCAGTATGTCTAATGAATGTCCGACTTATGGAGCTTTAGACGTGCTAGCTAGACAAACATGCCTCTTTCTGTTTGTTCATTGTTTTGCTATTATAGACCATAGATATTTCAAGAATATAAAACTAGTATCTATACTTTTGGTTGCAGCCCGACCATGTTTAAGAACTTACAAATGATGTTACCTGCCTACGCCATATAATCAGTTGGTTTTACTGTAAATTAGATTTTACTAATTGCAGAATGCTGCCGAAGTGAATATTCATCCCCATCTTATTAATAGTTATTAGTTGTGTTATTACTGATGCTATTATGGCCTTGTTTTCCACAGTAACTTTTTCCTGTTTCTGTCGTAAAAGGCTGTGGTCAAGTTAGCTTGTTCATTAACTGAGCAGATGAAAGACACGTCAAGTTTATGGGCTCCCCCAATTTACAGAAGGCTTGTCAGTATGAACAAAATGGACAGAGATATGTCTGAGAGATGCTTGCTGAAGATTGTGCCCTTAATATGTCCTCCACCAGTTAGTCTATCCAAGGTGCCCAAAGGCTTTAATTTTGTTTTACCCCGCTTGTCTACCAATTCCTGTTGTCCCATTATAATTCTTTTTTGAAGTCTAGAATAAATGAGGAATTTTGGCTAAAGCTGGAATATTCTTTTGTTAGGGTGAAGTGTTAAATACAAATACCTACGCTGCTGCACCATGTGATTAACTTGTTCATTGCGATTCTTTGATTTAAAATGAAAATACTTCTCCTGGGATGTCATTATATTATGAGCCCATTTTTCCTATTCCTTATATTCTTCTTTCCAGGTTCATCCTTTTCGTTCCTGAAAAACAAAAAATTACTAGTTGGAAGATAGTGTTTAATTTGGGTTTCTTGTCTTTTTCATGATCAAACATATGCTGTGCTTTCCACTTGTTAAGCAGGCAATCGCTGTGGATATGAAGAAATATTTGACCTTAGCTGTGAAGGAGCTATTGGACCAAGGCATGAAGATTCAGAGCCTTCAAGCATGGAGGTGGTTTATTCGTTTGCTTGGACCATATGGAATTAAGAATAAGCATTTGATAAATGAGATGCTAAAGATTTTGGAACAGACATTCTCGGACTTTAACTATCAAGTTCAGATCGCATCATTGGTACTGTTCAGTCATAAACTTCTGTTTTCCTTTTTCAATTTTGTTGGAGATTTCATTGTGTATATATATTTTGTTTATATACCTTTCTCTTGTATGGTAGAAAGATCATTTTTTGTGGTAGAAAGATTTTCTTAATTTTTGGCAGATATTATAACCTAGTTTCTGCTCCCTTAGTAAATACGAGTCTTTAGTACTTCCAAGGTACACATGAACTATTCCACTCTTCATATTGTACATGCTCCAGTATTTTACATGGTATCAGACAAGGGCAAAGTCCTCTTTTTCATCTCTGTTCCTAATTTGTGTTGGAACTCTAGAAGTTGTCGAGCTAACTTTAATCTGCCAATCTCCTATTATCATTAGCCACAATTGTTGACCTTCGCTGCCGTTTTGACCTTCCTAGGTTGCCTGCCTTGGTCTTTCTGATTTGAAAATATCATAACCCTATTTCGAAACTTCAGTTAAATTATATGGCTCCAACTGTTACACCCCCAAGTGTGATGTTGACTGGTCGCGCGACCCCTTAGAGCATCCAGATACGACGAGGCATGGTATTGAGGGATGTTGTGCTGAGTAGGGGAGGAATGCACCAATGTACGAGGTCTCGGGCTATCTTAGCGGGGATGCTAAGTTGCAGGGCCGAGTGTTGGTGCGTACTTGGGCTGAATGTGGGATTCAGTCAGGTCTTCATGAGGGGACGAAGACTCGTGTGAGACTATGTGCAAGTGTTTGGCCGGATAATTTAAGATGCACATGCGGATGGGTCGAGACCTAGTGTGCGGTCTTGATGTACATTGAGTCAGTTCAACTTGTTGGTGTCCTTCGGAAAATACTCGATTGCGGGGTTGGGTAAAAGTTAAGGGCTCGGTCGGACTACAGTTGCTGAGGGCTGTGCATGGCCTTGCGAGCACATGAGTTGGACTCAGAGACGTTACGATGCGTGGCATGCTTGTCGGGTAAGGCACTGGCAGGGCGACACCTATGCGCACCGATGGGCTCGGACGAGGGAGTTGTCTAGCCAAACGAGACATGGTCGGACATAGGCTGGTTCAGGGCCAAGAGTGCTTTGGATTATGCATTTTGATGGATGATTGCGAGTGTAGGCGCGGCGTCTAAGCCTTTGGTTGGAAAATCCCAATGGCGCATGTGGGCATTACATGGACCAGACGGTTACTTGGTCCAAGGTGGCCTAGATCGTCTTATCCCTTTGAGATGGCACTGCCCAGTGAGATCAAATAAGATCGAGGCACATGACCATTATTGACCTACGCGGGAGGTCAGACAAGATAGGCACGGGCGGTTGGCACCGCCTGGGCTCAGTAGGCATCGAGGAGATGTGGGCACGTGCCTTGGAGCAGTTAGTGCAAAATTACTGTTACCCAACATCTAGGGTTAGGGCTGCGTTGCCAAAGCCTTTAAATGGGCGAGGCAAGCATTCGCGTGCCTAGCGTGCGAGGCCGAGTAGGTTGAACTCGACGAGCCAAGTTGATGGATACACGAGACTACTGAGGGCACCGGAGTGAGCCAAACGCTCCAGGATTCGGAGTCCCGAAGAGGGAACTTAGTTTAGTGAGCGAACTCGAAAGCGTGAGTGAGAGCACCTAACACGAGGATGAGAGACCAAGCGGGCGATGCAGCGAGCAAGGTCCTAGTACTTGTATTCTAGGGAAGCATGTGTTGGCATATGGGAAGCATGAGTTGGCATATGTGAAGTGTGAAGTGTGAAGTGTTTGTAGCTTGTGTAAGACCAATGTCTATAAGACCGATACTAGATTTTGACGAACGTTAGATAGGAGTGTAAGGTCGGGGGTGACCTCCCTTGATACGTGAGTAACCAAGATGTCCTAGAATGTGACTGCATGCACAAGATAGCTCGAGTGGGGTATTGTATCGTGTGTGTGTGCGAGCCATGGCATTTCCATTGTGCAATTGAGTAATTATAGCCGATTGTTGGGCGCGAGCCCGTAAATGTGTCGTGTCACTTGTTATTTACTTGATAGCTTCCGTGAGTGCGCAAGTGACGGCTTGCACTGCCGTCAAACTATACTTGTATGGGTGAGCGAAGGTATGGCGGGTCGCGATTAAGGCTGACTGGTCGGGGAGATCAGGCCGCACGAGGCGATCATCGAGCCCTGTGACACAAACTATGTCTTTAAAAAAACTTGGACGAAGTCTGGTAAGCCTGATTGGGTTAGTAGTACCAACACATCATCTTAGGAAACTGACATGATATGTGTTCTTCATGATGAGTTTGAAACATGGTTTCAAAAACCTGATCGGACCAGCCGGTTAGACCGGTTCAACGGGGAAACGGTCATAGTACCGGTCCGGTTTGATGATTTGAACAGCTGGGCACAAGAACTGGTTAAGAACCGGCCGAACATGTTCAAACCGGAAAATCGGTACAGGTTCTTCGATTTGGCGGTTTACACTTTGGGTATTGTTGTTCAAAATTCATAAGCGCGTTTAACATAAAGGAAGCAGGCATGTTGTACTGTGGTGTGCAATGCTCTTCTTGTGCGAGAGGTGCTGTGTTCGACCCCTAGAGTGCCCAAATGTATTTGCTTTTTTCCCTCTTTTTTTGTCTTTTATATTAGTTATTTTTTAAAGGAACTTTTGAATTTAAATCAAAATTAAAGTCCAAAATTAATTTTTAGTTTTTTATTCTTTACATAATGAAAACTGAAAAATAAAATCTAATTTAAAAGTTATATACAAATTAAGTTACAAACTTGTAGCTTTAGGTTGTATCTAAATTAGTATCGTTTATAGTAAGTTATAAATACGATATTGATTATTGAATGCTTATTTAGATAAATGTCATTAGGGATAAATATATACATAATTATATATAATTAAACATATAAAAAAAAATAAAAAAATTATATGTCAATTAAACTGGTTCGACCGGTTCGACCAAACTATTGATCCAATAGCTTAACCGGTTTGATGACCCGTTCGGTCTTCTGAACCTTGGTTTAAAACCTTGTCCTCTCTTTGGAAAATCTTCAGCTGCTCATATTTCTTTCTTCGTAGGTGCATTTTCCGCGTCTCATGGTAATGGTAAGTTATGGATGTTATATTCTTGTGTCATTGCTCATATTACTAGTAACAGTTCTACTGTCTCTTTGTTTTCTTATATCGCATCTATACCCTCTGTTCGACTAGCCGATGACACATATTCTTCAATAACTTGAAATTGATATTATCAAATTACTACTCATATTAATGTTGATAAGTTTTTGGACCATGTTCCCCATTAGTCTATTGTTCATAGGTGAACTCACGTAAACTCATAACTATTCTGTGAGCGTGGTGACATGTACTAGTTGGATGTTATACGTCTTCTCTATTGACATACAGTCAATCCCTCTCCTTCGGTGGAGGACATGATCGTGGTGGCATGTATTACTCAGATGTTGACATGTTGTACGTCTTCATGTCTAGTGGTATTGTCTTTACAGTCATTTCTCTCTTTCCTCCCTAAATGATTAGCTTCCGTTCATTCTGTTGATTTTCAGTGAGTCTTATGAGTTGGGTAAACACCATGGGCATATTCTTCTCCTACAGTTAAATGCAGTTCTTTCGCTTCTGAGCTGTTTATTGTGATGTTTGGGTGACTAGTAGAGTTGAGTTTGGGGAGGGGGTTTTAGTATTTATTATTTTTTTGGATGATTATTCACGCATGATATGGTTATATTTAAAAATGGAAGTGAGAAACATTTTTAACATAAAATGCAAATTCAATATTCTATTGAATTGAGCACTCTTCTTACTGATATTGCTATCGAGTTCACGCAAAATACTGTTTCATCTTTATGTTTTTCTCGAGGCACATTTCATCAAACTTTTGCCCATACGCTTCCCAATAAAATTGTTAGTAAACGTAAATATCGCCACATTTTAGGCATAGCTTGTACGCTCCTCTATTGTAGTGCGTGTTACTAAACATTTGTGGGGTTATGTTCTTACACCTTTTTTCATTATCAATGGGATGTCATCCACCGTCTTATATGGAAATATACCATCTCCGTGTCATCATCCCAAAAAATATTTTTTTCCACATGTATTTGATTGTGTCATTTGTGTTCATGATTTTATCCCTGGTCTTGATAAATTATTTTCTCGCTCTTTTAAATGGATCTTTTCAGGATATTCTCAAATACTAAAAGATTATCTTTGCTTCGACCCAATTACTAAATGGAGTTACACCATCATCGGTGTTTGCAATTTTTTAGTTGTAATCTTTTTTTTTTTTATCCCCAAGTGGTCCAATAACCTGCTATAGTGTAATCTATACTGTCCTCTCCACCATTGCGTATATCACGGTCTATAACCCCCACTTTTTGTCTACTTTAGACTAGTGCTCTACCTTTGCAGGTGTGCACAAGGCATTCTTGGCCACTACCTGGTTCGTGTCCTTCACTTTCCCCATCTACAGATCCTGAAAATCCTTAGTTCACTTGTGCATCGCACAATGATCTACCCATTGCTCTTAGTGAAGGTATTCGTTCATGTGCTGCCATCTTTTTCACATCATGTATCATTTCATTGTCTTGTTCGTACTTTTTGTGCTTTTGTTGCTTCAATATCCTCTAGAGCTATTCCAAATTCATACCACGAGGTATATTAACACGCTGCTCGCCAAGTAGCACTGCATGAGATGTCTTTGCTGTTATTTCTTGAGGTACATGGGAACTTGTGACTGCTTCTACTTTCCAGTGATCTTGTTTGAGTTTTCACTCTTAAATATCATGTCGTTGGTAGTACTGATCGATAGAAAGCTCGTTTTGTAGCAAAAAAGGTTTAAGTAGACCAGTAGTGTTGCCTATCTTGAGACGTATTGGCCGACCGCCCATTTGAACTCAATATGAGTTCTCTTCTCGCTAGCGGTCAGTCAATCTTGCCCAATGTATCAACTAGATGTAAAAATGTCTTTCTTTATGGTGATTATTGGAATGCTATTTATGTTAGATCGAAAAATAACAACTCAACCTCTTCTGGTTATTATTCTTAGGGAAAATCTTGTAACTTGTAGCAAAGAACAAACTATAGTTGTCAGATACCCGAGTATAGAGCCGTATCTCACCCTGTGATTGAGATCTTATGGTTGAAAAGTCTACGTGAAGAATTCACTTACGGTGAACCACTATCAATGTATTGCAACCTGGTCTCTACTCCCTAACATGAGAGTCCTTTGTACTTCAAAGATACAAAGTTTTCCACTTTTACAAATTTGATACATATATGAGATTATTATTGTATTTACTTACTATATCATATCCCATATTCTTTTTAAATGACTTCTTTTGCCTTCTTTGCCTACTTAAAATGATATTGAGATTAATTTCATAAGAAGCCAGTATGAAGTTATTACCCCTATTTGATTCTGTGAATAACTTATAGATAATATGAATTATGTGTGTTGTGATGGTTGTGGTATGTCCACACTTAGCTTTTCTATTTTCTAGTCTTATAGGCCATCTTTTTCCAATAACTCCATTATTCCATACTTTGTTTATTGTTAACTTTTCTAGTCGTCTAGGCCATGGTTTCCTATAACTTCATTATGTAACATTTTTTTATCTATTTATTTATTTCACGCCTACTTTCATGTTACAGCTTATAGGCATCAAAGGTGGTAAAAAATTTCAGCTCTTCTTTGAGTTCTTGAAATTAGATTAAGTTGTGCTGATAAAAGTACGTCGTATACCCTCTTTACTGGTAATTTATTTATTTATCATAGAATAATCTCTAAATAATGAGAGAAAATTTTATGTTGTTTATGCTTTGTAGTAGATGTCCAGAGTGATTAGAGGAAAATCATTCTCTTTATCACGCTTTGCAGGTTGCCTGGGAAGGTCTTATCGATGCTTTAATTGAGCCTGCATTTCTAGCTGGCCTCACCAACTCTGCTGTAGAAGATCATGTCCAAGTGCTTAATACTTCTGAATGTAACAACACTACAATAAAGGAAGACAGATACTTGAAAATAATTAAGCTTATCATGGCACCAGTCATAAGAATAATGTCGAGTAAGTGTGATGTGTCCCTCCGTGCTGCCTGCTTGAGCACGTGGTCTTACCTACTGCATAAACTCGAAGCTTCTGCTAACAGTCAATTAGTGATAAAATCTGTTTGGGAGCCTGTTGTGAAAGTGGTCTTTCAATTGGGACCAGAGAACAAGAACATCAGTTTGTGGAATTTCTGTTTAGATCTCCTCGATACTCTGATATTGGGTGAAAACCAGGGAAACTTTCCAGACTTGTACCACAAGGAAAAACACGAGGCATCTCTTAAAAACTCTATAGGTGATCATTCGGTATCTTGGAATGGCCCTCTGAAACATTATCCTATAAGCTGTTCCCGTTGGAATCTATCTCAGCTGGACTTCTTTATTAAAATGATAGAAAATCTAGTGAATCGAAATTCAGAACCATTTGTTGCAACTGAATCTGCAAGACTGGAAACTGATGCTGCCTTGAGGTTGTTTGGTTCTCTTCTTGAAACGGTTCGAAAGGCCTTCCGATGTGTCTCCATAAGTTATAATGAGGTTATTCGTTGTTTGGATACAGTATTTGGATTCCTGGAGAGAATATGCATTCTTTCGGACAATGAGAGAAGCTATTATGGTCCTCACACTTGCTTTATGTTTCTGAAAGTGGTGTCTGAAAAGTTAGAACCTTCCATTTTGGAATCTCCTCTCTATAAAGTGGGCTTAGAAATAAAGTGCAGCAAAAAGTTAAAACATGCTACTGAGATTAAATGTGCAAAAGTGCCACATATCTGCTTAATGGATTTCGAGAATAAGGTTCTTCCGGCCGTGTACGTGGGTACGTTCTATTTCTTTCTAGTTGCAAACTCAAATCTGGAGACACCTGATAATGGCTCCTTATTGGAGCAGATGGAAGGTTACTTCAGAACTTTGTTATCTTCATGTGACACTTGGGAGGTTCTGTGCACATTTACGTATTTGTTGTACAAAAACGCCACATTTATCAGCTTAAGCATTTGGAGAGTTTTGGTAAACTGTCTTAAAGAATGCTTAAACAGCAACAATTACTGTTTTGTGGCAGACAGCACTAGTTCTTCAGTTGTGTTGCATCTTCTGTCATATCCTTTTGCTTTGTGGTCATGGTACCCAATCAAACTCAAGTCTCACATTGTAATTGAAGCATGGACCTCTCTTTATGTGTCTGTTAACCAAGCTTCTCAATCTCATAAGGATGCTGAGAGTTTTTCTGGAGATCTTTGTGCAATACTCAATGAACACATTTGCCAAATTGCATTAGAATTTGGCACGGGAACCGATGTTCAACTGGAAGAAGAGAACTGTTGTGGTGGGTTTTCACTGCTGTGTGGGGATGTTATCACCTGTGTCTTAAAGGAATTGGCGCTGTCCTTCAGCTCAAAAATGAGACATTGTGTAGATTGTAATGGCAGAAAGCCCGTCGTGGTGAACAGTATGAATATAGCAGCTTGGTGAGCTTGAAATTTTTTTTAAAGTTATTAATTTGAATTTGTGCAACTTGTGAAGTTGCCTTATACCTTTCACCCTTCTGTGTTTGTTTTAGCTCTGTATGACTTGGGTTTAACTGCCATCATGTCATGAAACTTCTGGCAATATTCAAAGAATTTAAATAAAAGTGCACACATAATAAAAACTCTTCGATATGGATACTTGTATTGTATCTTTAGCTATGGTAGATAGTCTAGCATAGACATTAAAATTCTGGAAATTGAACTTACATTGAAGTTTTATATTCTGAGAGTGGAGCCTATTTCTTGCGAAGAAAAATTGCTTGCTTGCTGGTGCAACAAAAAGGTATTTGATATCTTTCTTAGCCCTGCCCGAAATTTCCATCTCTATATTATGCTGAGTGTCAAACTTTATCTTGGTTTGTGATCAGGGCATATTTTTACTTTGAACCAAATGACATGATGAATTATACTGTACACTAAAGTGATTTTCTCTGATATTTATCTTTTGTTCTTGAATTTCACCTTTGTTGTCATATAGACCGTAACATTTTCATTTTATTAAAAAAATCTGTAGAATTGCTGCCCTTTTGTTTTTTGTCCTTTCAGGTAGTGGCAGTATTATGCGTGTGGGTGAGTCGAATGTCAATAATCTGTATCTTTGTTTCTCTCATTATGTTGTTACTTTTAGATTAATTTGGACCTTTGTTGAACAGACAAGTCATTCTCTAACTCGGATTTATCATTTTCGGACTTGATAATATTTCTTGATACTATGTCGTTTGGGATGAAAAAGGATACAATACATTAGATTTCCTTTTATCATCTGGAAGTGATTGATCAGATTTTCTATTTGGCATGAGGCTCTTGCAGGTTCATGAAGCTGTTCCGGACGTGTAAACGAAAAAAGGACCCATCCCATCTCTCCCAGGCATCAAGGTTGTTTTTACTATTGTATATTATTTGATAAATCTCTATTAAGAAGTGTGGCTCAGTTTTATAAACTTTTCCAGATTTTTGTCGGCATTGGTTAGATTCACTGGATGCCTTAATGAGAAGGATGATGTTCTTACATTTGTTGAGGTGAGCTTTGTTCCTTACGTTTAGCTGTTCTATAACTTTGAGAAAGCTGTTTACAGAAAAAATAAAGAAATCAGCATTCGTTATATTATTGATTTTTGAGAAATTCGTTTGTACTAGTTGGTTATTCTTGTGAATTACTTGGTTTGGTTCTTCTGTAGATGATATCAAGTCCATTGCTCCACTGGATATCAGAAACTGATCACCTTGATGAGACTGCAAATAATCAGCTTCAGCTATTATGGACCGAAATGCTTAAAGTTCTGCAGCTAAGTAGGCCATCAATCACATTCGACTCTTTATTCCTCAGATTTCAAGAACCCCTCCTCGAAAGAGCTCTCGATCACCCAAATCGAGCCATCTCTGAAGCTACCATTAACTTTTGGAACTCGACGTACGGTGCACAGAACAGTTTAGAGTTTCCTAAAAGCATAGTTCCTGTACTGGACAAGCTCACAAGAAATGGAAAAATCAACATTTGCAGTAGAAATCGCGCAGGAAGATATAAGGTGACTAATGCACTAAACAAATCTTCGAAAAGAGTCGAGATTGTGGGCAACTTTTGTGATGAAATTTATTCAGGCGTTAAAAGAAAACGGCTGGAGCTGACCGAACGCCAGAAAGAAGTGAGACGAGCACAACAAGGGCGGTCCAGAGATTGCAGTGGACATGGCCCTGGAATTCGGACCTACACGAGTGTTGATTTCTCTCAAGGGATTGAAGATTTATCTCAAGGTAATGATGAATCACAAGAAATCAGGGAACCTTAGTCCAATGCTGGGGATGTTGAGAAAAGCTTGTTCTCGACTTTCAGGAACATGTGAGTTGATGGAATTGTAGTGGTGAGATGATATGTTTGATTGATTTACTTGTAATTATGTAAAAAAAAAAAAATATTATGTTGCTATTTAATATCGTTTTCATTTAATTTCAAGTTAACCTAGTAAGATAATAGTATTTTTATTTGGCCAATTTGCACCCCTACCGAATAAACTGAAAATAATTGCATACATACGGTTTGAGAAAAACACTAGCATCTATATAGGTTATAGGATTTGTGTCAAATAATTAGGAAAATGCATAATGTCAGTTACCAATTAAAAAACGATTTTGTTCCTATAATTGCCTAATTGAAGGTAATCACAATTAAAAGAAAAAAAAAATGATATACATGAAAAGAACGGTACTGAACATGGCCATGTCGGACAGGAAGATTCGATGTTGTTTCTCTGCGTGACGACGACATGCTGTGTTGTAGGCGGCTAAATTCTGGTTGGAGTGGTTGTAGTCACTACGACGCTCTGAACACGTGAGATGGCTAGAGGTTGCTGCGTGGTTGAACGTGGACGCAGAAGATGTTCGAGAAACGAAATTCGTTCATGGTGATTCTGGAGCGTTGAATGACTTCCTGTAGAATACCATGTGTTCCAATCTGATTGGATCTATTCTACTTGAATATAATTTATTGGAATTTATATAATAAATTAGGCAATACTTTATCTTATGTATAAGCATTTATATTATATTTGCACATATGATAAAGTCCTTAGATCATTATTAGTTACAAAGACATGGTTACGCATAGAGATGGTAATCATGGAACATGTTTTTAAAACTGTGATCTTAAATGAAGTTCCAAGTCGTTGGGTATTTCGAGATAGGATATCGAATAACCTGGTAAGACTTGCACATATGATGTATACTTATTGGATAAGAATGTTGTATTCCATCAACATTAGCGTGGGACACAAATACATATATGTGGGTGCTTTTTAGGGAACAAGTTCACTGAATATGACCATATGAAAATTCTTAACTGGAAGTTTAAACTGTCGAATAAGATTTTTCATGTTGCAATAGTACATGATTGATCCTTTGACTTGACACGATACTAATCTTGTGCATGTTGCACTTTACTTTGATTTATCCTTTGATTGTTGGACAATCATAAAAGGGATATTTTGGGTATTGTATTAATATGTATAGAGGTTTATATGTGACCAACAAAGAATTCGACACTTATATGGATAAGTGAATTTCCTATGTTTTTCATAGTTTGTGATTCAAAGACCTTGGCCAAGGCAGGATGAATAGAGATTCATAAATAATTCACTAAACCTGAAATGGAATCATAATTATTAAATCAATTGGGTTTCGACTAAAATCCATACCCATGATTTAATCGGGAAATTAGTTGTCGAAAGGATTTTACATGTATGCAATTGTTATCGAAAAGGTTTACTCGTTATTTCACTTAATATTAGGAGATCATGCTACTTGCTAGGTGTTCCCATGATTTGTGGGTTCTTGAAATTAAGGAGTTAATTTCAAGAATATAAATCAATAAGATTAATTTAAATTACAAGTAAGTTGTAAACCCACTACTAGTATTAATTATGAACCTAAAAGGTCACACCAATTTTTGAATGAAGACAATTTTTTGAAATTGATATTTCTAAAGAGTTAAAATTAATTGACAAAGATTAATTAAATAATTTAATTATTTAATTAAATCTAATTTTGAATTAGATGTCAATTAAAAGAATATTATAAATTAATCAATTGAACTGATTAATTGAATTTTGGATATTAATTAAGTAATTATTGGAATTACTAAATTAATAGTTGGATTTTTAAAATTAGATTTTAGAATTCAAATCCAAATAATAATATGATTATAAAAGAGAAGATTTTATTTAATTGGGAGATAAAAGATTTTTATCAAATAATCTTGAAAATGGTTTTCAAGACTTATTACTTTATTATTAATCTTTAATATGATTAAAAATTAAATAATAATAAATATAAAATAATTATGGTAGATGGTGGTTATGAACCACTCTACATAATTAATGTAAAGTCAAAGTTGGGTAAGATTATTCTAATAAAATTTTGATTTTTAAATGGAAATGATTACCCAATATTGATTATTTTATACATAAAATTTTAGTATAAATATGTACATAAGTGATGTACAAAATTAAGAGAGATTTTTAAGAAAGAGTTCTTGAAAATAAGAGTTAAAATTTGAAGAAAGATTTCTTGAAATTTTAAGAGAGATTTTTAAGAAAGAGTTCTTGAAAATAAGAGTTAAAAATTTTAAGAAAGAGTTCTTGAAATTATAAGTGAAGAAAAGTTCTTACACTTAGATAAAAATTAATCTCCCAATAAAGATAAATAAAATTCTTCTCTTTAATAATATTTCTATATCAATTGATAAACCGAGACGTTTCATACTAGCGAAGAAATTGGATCTTGGTATTGGATTTCAAAAGGTGGACTCTATTAGAGGGAAGGCATTTGGATTCCTTAAAGCGAGAAGAGTTCATACCGAAAATTGATCTCCACAACATCTTCGAGGAGGAGATAAAGAGGTAATTTTCGAAATTATCTTACAAATCAAAATTAGTAATTGTTACTAGATTTTAAACGATGCTTATCCTTTGTTTCGTTATATTTATGTACGGTTTAAGTATTTATATGATAAATACTTATAAATTTTAAAATTTTCGTTGCTATTTTTAATCCGTATAGTATAGCGAACCCAACACTTCCTCGTCGGGCGCCAACGACGACGATAACTTCCTTTGGTCGTCCTCTTCGAAGCCCGAGAGTATCACCAGTTGCGGGCTTGGACGAGAGTATCACATGTTCCGAGAGTATATATTTAAATTGGCCATAGAATAGTTCCAGTGTGATGCATTTATACTCAATATATTTTTCAGTATATTTGTATTTTTATTTAAATAATATTATCTAACTACGATTGTGATGTTTGGATTTTGTTTATACATTTTGTTTCTACTTATTACTTAATTTTATACCCCAAATATGTACAACAATGATATGTAAAAAACTTAATGTAAAGGCTCCTAGAATGTGAAGAAAAATTATATATACTAGATTACAAATTTGTTTTTTTTTTTTTATTGCTCTATTAGGGTCTTTAGGCAGGCTTCGTCCTGACCTCTCATGTTTATTCAGCTGGTGGCTACGTTTGTCAGTTGGTGGTTGTATTTGTGCACATTTGTGCCCTTATATAAAATGTCTATCGTTACGGAAAAAAAAAACAAATTTGTTTTTTTACTCAACCAATATTCAGTTTATGCTTTGTTTATAACTTGTAACTATGTATATTAGTAGATATATACAATTTATGTCCTCGTAACATATAAGTAGATATATCCAATTTATGTCTTCGTAAGTTACATTAAAAAAAGACCAGGTAGACAATTATAACAAAAATAAGTCAAAGCTTAACGACGAACATCATAATATTGTGCAAGACGGACATCAAACCATTTTCAGTTTATGTTGCGTTGTCGTCAGTATATTTTCAGTATTGCGTTTTTATTTATATAACTTTTACCAATTCAAAATGCTATCGTGAACAACAATCAGACAAACATCACTAGCTAGTGAGATTGATGTTTGGTCTAATCTCTTTATTCAACATCAGTACCATCAATTATGCTAATATACCAAACATAAACAATAAATTTGATTATCTCTCCATGTAAATTTGTAAACTAATTTTTTTACTGTAAATTTATATCTAGTTTATTTTTCAGTTTGTTATATATTTATAAACCAATATAATAATATGTGTGTTGTTTTTTTTTTTTATATAAATTTATATCTAGCTTACTTTTCAGTATATATTGCATACCATAAAAGATTATGCTAATACACAAAACATAAACTATACATAAATATCATATAAACAATTAAAACTTATCCGGTCGAAACTATCCGCATGACGCTGCTCACAAGCATGGTTGTCGTGTATAAAAAGTGTGTAAAACCAAAAGTTTGTAAAACCAAATCCCTATCCCAGATATTCACCTATATATATATATATATATAATTACTAGCTAATAGCATTTAATAAAACCTATTTAATTTTACCTATGTGGCAATTTAATCATTTTCCCTCCAAAAACCGTTACTTTTGATGTATTTAATCTTTTATTTAATTATTAAATAATCAACACACTAATCACTTCAAAATCACAAAATTCATTTTAAACTTTTGATTACTGACAGTCGACTATATAATGTGTTGACCGTATAATGTGATTAGATATTATTGTGGTTACATTCAAATAATTTTTTTTAAAAAAAAAATAAAAAAAGTATTTGATTGTAAATTAGATAAACGCAATTTAAATATATATATATATATTCCAACTCCTTTAATTGTAAATTTGGTCAGCAAAAAGGTAAAAGAAAAATAAATATATGCATAGAAATAACTCACAATATTTTATTTACATATGTGCAAATGCACAAGGTCGAATACTAGTTTCCTAATAAACTCTCCCACCCTAGAGTATCTCTCTCTCTATCTCCCCGAACTGAGGTGAGGGAATAAAAGAATGGATTGAAGGTCCCCAAGGTGAATCCCAAACATGGATAAAATTTCCATCCCCCACCTAAAATCTAGCACCTAGTCTAAGGGGTTTTCTGGCTTCCAGCCAACTTTTCTAGAGCCAAGAATTATAACTCTTTGGTTTCATATTCAGCAATTTGTCATTCCAAAAATATTTACCTCCCAAAACTTTAGACACTAACAGATTAGGATGGGTTAGAACCCTCTACAGCTATTTGATTAGAAGATCTTAATTGAAGTTTATAAGGTTTTTAAAGCTAAGACCTCCACTATTTTTAGGTTTTGCATGTTTTTCCCACCAGTCCAATGCAATCTATCCTTCACATTCTCCATTTTCCCCACCAGAAATTAGAAACATTTCTGCAAATACTTTTACACACAACTAAAGGGAGACAAAAACAGGACATGACATGGTATGGAAGAGCATCTAGCACTTTTTTGTTCAAAACTTCTTTACCAGCCTCACTAAGAAATTTGTTTTTCCAGCTCTGCAGTCTCTGCATCACTCTCTCACTCACAAAGTCAGAAACTTCTTTTTTTGATCTCTCTATGCATGAAGGAAGATCAAGATACTTGGAAGAATCCATTCTTGTGATCCCACTCAAGACATTACATATATCAATGGCAGTAGAAGGCAAAGTGTTTCTAGAGAAGAGGATTGAGGATTTGTCAATATTCACCATTTGACCAGAAGCAGAACCATAATCAGACAACAACTTTATAATCAGAGAAGTATGATGCACATTGGCTTTACAGAAAATAATTGAATCATCGACCAAAAAAAAAAAAAGATGAGATATCATAGGGGCATGTTTACCGATTTTTATTCCTTGTAAAGAAGAATGCTGACAAGCTTGGTTAATCAGGTTGGACAGTGCTTCAAAAATAAGTAAGAATAAGTAAGAAGATAATGGATCTCCTTGTCTCAACCCTCTAGTATGTTGGACATAACCAAGCACAGATCCATTCACATTGAAGAAAACAGATGAAGTACAAACACAACCTAAGATCCATGATATAAATTGGTCACAGAATCCCTTTTTTTGACAAAATTGAGTAATGAAATCTCAGTCTACCCTATCATAGGCCTTAGCCATGTCCAATTTTATAACCATGTAGCTTTCTTTGCCTCTTCTTTTGCTATTTAAGAAATGAATGCATTCATTAGCCATAACTACATTGTCAATGATTTGTCTACCAGGTATAAATGCAGACTTTGCAGGAGAAATGCAAACTTTCAGAACAGATTGAAGTCTATTGACAATAATTTTAGTCATGAGTTTATAAATCACATTGCAAAGACTAATTGACATGTAATCAACAACTTTAGCGGGCTTCAATTTTTTTTTTTGTTGGAATAAGAGAGAGGAAAGTATGGTTCAAATTTCTAGGCATGTTCCCTTTCAGGAAGAAGTTCTTATCAGCTAAAAACAGATGGTTTTATACAATAGGCCAAGAGGACTGAAAAAAGGAGGTTGTCATTCAATATTGTCCTACTGCTTTAATGGAAAACATGGACATTGAGGCCTTTTCAATTTCAGCTTCACTCACTTCTCTAATCAACATCCTATTCATTTCTTCATTGATTCATTTAGGAGTTCCATTAAGGTTACAATCTTACATTAAGGGGTTAGAAGTTGTGAAAATTTTTATTGGACCAATTTCAGATCATTTGTAAAAATCATTCAAAAATATGACACAACTTTTGTTGCATCCCGATAACCAAATTACGAGTCAATTTGACTCGATTAAATTGATTCTTAATAATTTTCTCTTTCACAACATGGTGAGAATTTCATTTTTATATTATGTAGTATGATATCAACGATTAATCTAAATCATGATTAAATTTTTCAAAAACCTTCAATCATTTTTTTTTCATTGCAAACCTAATCTAATTTTATTTTTAGTGATGTGATATCAATAATTAAAGAAATAACTTTATAATTATAATATTATTTCAAGATTTATCAAATTGAATTGCAAAAGATTGTTGAACATTATAGAATAATAATTATAACCAATTTCTATATTTAACTTTATTTAATTTTGTTTGAATACATGAGATGAGTATATAAGTTATCTTTTATGCACTTTCTTTGTTAGGCCACCATCTGTTTATGATACTACCTCCTTTTTTAAATAAATGTCGTTTTGACTTTTTTGATTCATCCATTTTGCTATGTATCTTGACATTAATATGTCTAGATACATAGTAAAATGGATGAATCAAAAAAGTCAAAACGATATTTATTTAAAAAAGGAGGGAGTATTTAATAACTTATGAATAACATACTACTAAATATTAATAAACATGCATAATATCATTGCTCGGTTCTGACTCATATTAGTGTCGGCTTGACCCATTTTTAATATTCATTATTGGTTGTGTGTGTGTGCTATTTTTGCCTGTCAAAATTCCAAACTGTATTCAACCAAAAACCAAACAATTTTATAACACAAGACATGACAATGAATATAATTTTATTGCAAAATATTTCTACACACCTAGTAAATAAAAAATATCTATGGTAAAGCATATTTATAGTTACTCCTAAAATACAAATTAATCCTATCTTACCTCAACAATATAATTTATTTTTTTAAAAAAAAATATAAACTGTGAGAATATTTTTAAAGCTCATTGGGCATAATTTGGAGCTCTTTCAAGAGATGGCCACATTTTGGCGCCGCTTTTTTTGTGGTGAAGGCTATTGGGTTGGCATGACGAGTATCATCGTGAAAACCACTGTTTCTTGTGAGGATGACTTTGGAAGAGGGCCTTGTGGCCCACCCCTCATCCGGGACCTCGCTGCAGTCGGCTCTGCTGCTCTTGAAAAGAGTCACCGCACACTCTTCTTCCCCATGGTCACCTTCCACAGTTAGGTGGTACATTCCCTCATCATCAGTCACCCCTTCTTGGCTGTACGTAATGTTGCCCTCCTCCTCCCCTCTACACTGCAGCCGCACGCTCGCCCCTGGCATGGGCTCACTAAGTTTGTTGATGAAGTTGGTGCGGCAAACTTCGCAGTAAACCTGTCCCTCGACCAAGAATTTTGGGGCTATTGCCGAACCCGAATGGGCCACACTGCACCACATAAGCAAACAAAAAGCCACGAAAAAGGTAGATATCATGACTTGTTTTCGAGTTGCCATTTTCTAAGTTAATTACAATTCAGTTTACATATTGTGAGAGGAATTGTGACTGGGGTATATATGAGGGCAAGTTAGTTATGAATTTGAGGCTAACTTTTGATGTAATTTAAGGGTGTATGTGGTTGAAGATTAATTTTGACCTTACCAGATTTAGAGCATACTCCAAAAGGAAACTCTCATCCACATCCATTCAAATTATATTAGTAATTTCTATTATAAGCAGAATTAGTCTGTTTAAGATGTGCTATTGTGTGTATATGAATGTGTGAGTGTGCTAAAAAACCTTGGGTATGGTCAAATTCTATCCAACCAGCTGTGTTATAGTGGGCACAAATAATTAAACGAACAAAAATATCAAACAATAAGCATTAATAATTACTACAAAAAAGTGGGAAAATAAAACATAAAAAGGCAAAAACACACACAAAGTTGGTCACTATTGGCTATTTATGCGTGTTTCTCTTGTTTCAAATCATGTACCGTTAGTCATAGCGATCTAGCCACTAGTACATCGTATTATACCAACGGTATTATCAGATTAGAAAATATAATAATATACATAACAATATATATAACCAAATATAAAATATTGAAATTTAAAATTAAAATTCAGCCCGATGTCGTTTGTTTCCATGGCTAATGTGTTAATGGTCGGTGGAAAGAAAGAGCCAGTACAATGAAGGAGATGAAGTAGAGTGTGGTGGGTAAGGAGATCAGAACAAGTTGGATTGAGATTGATAGAAGATCCATCGCTTTGTCGTTGCAGATAGAATGCATCTTAGGGGCAAAATTTAGAACTTCGCCGTAGAGACAACACCCAGTTGCTCGCGAGATCAAAGGCTAAGGCACAAGAAAAATTCACGCGAACACAAAAGAACACGATATTTTTTGGTGTTGTTGAATTGACAGTTTTTCTTGATACTATTCTTTTGCTTAAATAAAATGTTACAAGAAAACTAATCATGACATTAAAATGAGGCCGATATTAACAACTAACCTAGGAAAGCAACTATGGAAAACAAATAAACTAATTTAGGTGCACAAGGATTACATCATATAATAGAATATTTTTTTACAATCTCCTCCTAAGCCTTGTGCACATTGCTTACATTGATCAGGCCGATCTTAGAGCGCAGTTCATAGAACTTTGTCCTCCCAAGCGACTTTGTTAGGATGTCTTCCAGTTGTTCTTCACTCCTGATGAACTCGACATTAATCAAGCCTTCCTCCGTATTCTCCCGAACAAAATGATATTTCACTCGAATGTGCTTGCTCTATCCATGGAGTACTGGGTTCTTGATAAAGGCAATGCAGACTTATTTTCCACCCTCAACATAAGAGCTCGATCCCTGCACCTCAACCAACACCCGAGCGAGCCAGAATGCTTGACTAGCAGTGTTTGCAGGTGCTATGTATACCACTTCACAGCTTGATTGTGCCACCACCTTCTTCTTCTTAATGGATTGCCAGGTGATCGGGCTACTGATGTGGGAGAAAAAACCTACTATTTTGCTCTTATTAGCATCAACCTCCTCCGCACAATCATTATCACTTAAACCTGTCAAGTGAGCTTTCTTTTCCTCCTTCATGTCAAACCAAGAGTCTTCAATTCTCGGTTCCTTCCACATAGCACAACATGTGCTTCACGAAAGCAATGTGGTCCTCACATGGGTCCTCTAAGATTTGGCTAACATAGCGAACAACAAAATCTTAAGATCGAGGTTAGTATTAACCATGTACCTTAAGCTCCTGACGATGCTCTTGTACCCCGTCTGGTCGACTGCGAACTCTGAGCTAAATTTTCTCAATATTAGTCGTGCCTCCATAGGCACATAGCATGGACTGCACCAGCCATGACCCTCTTCTCCAGAATCTTGCCTGCATAGGTGCTTTGGCCGAGTGAGATTCCCCTAGCGCACTGCTTCACTTCATTGTCGAGTTAGAAATGAATTAAGTCGAGGTTGTTTAACTTGAACGTGGTTGCCATCTCCATCTTGAATGACTTGATGTCGCTACAGCTCGAGCGGGTGATCACGAGAACATCGACGTAGACCCCAACCATCAGTTTCGATTCGTCGTTCTGCCTGATGTGTATGATGTGCTCCGACGTGCTCCTCTTGAAGCCGAGCAACATCAGCGTGGTGTTCAGCTTTACATTCCAGGCCCACAGGTCTTGATGTAGACCATACATCCAAAGCTTGAGCACCTTGTTCTCCTTGCCGGTAATGACGAAGTTAGCCGACTGCTTGATGTAGACTCCCTCTGTAGACCGCCTTTCAAGAATGCTGATTTGACGTCCATGTGGTGTACCTCCCACCCCTTGTGCCTCGCAAGGGCAATGAGAAGGCGCAACGAGTCCAGCTTGGAAACCGACAGGAACACCTCGTCGTAGTCTATATCATGTTGTTGTGCGTAGCCCTTCACCACAAGGCGTGCATTGTGCTTGTACACCTCTCATGATCCTCCCATTTCATCTTGAACACCTTCACCCTGATCGGCATGAGGTACGCATTCCCCTAAGTAATTTTCTATAACCACGCACAAATTTAATGGAATTATCAAATGACCCAGAAATAGAGGCACTGGGGCATATTTTAATTAATTTTCTTATAAAATTCTCAATCTCACTTACTATTTTACAAATAAATGTTTTTTCAAAACATTCAATTTACATAATTAATTTAGCATGCATTAAAATCATTTAAATAATTATTATGCATATTCAAAATTAAAAGCTATAAAATAGAAAAGTAAATATGACTATTATGGTCTTTAATTACCTATCCAATTTCAACATGAAAACCATAATGTGTGCCTTAATCGAACAAATATTCTCTCTATGTGTGATTGGACTATTGATTATTCCAACCTGGAGTCGTCGATGGTGGAGCGTCGTTTTTGTTGTTGCCTTGTTGGGTTTGTTTCCAATCATCCCATTCTGCAGCTGCCCACCTCGCCATCGCCAAGGTCTTCACCACCGAGTCTTGTCATCGTTTAATGTCACCTATGCAGTATGTGCTCATCCGGTAGGCCCCGTCGAGCTCCGTCGCATGCGTCACACGCGAGGATATAGTGCGCCACACACAGCTCTCCGACGCCTCTTGAGTCACCCGCCCATGTTGTCGCCTGCTTGTGCCTGCTTTAGGTCGTTTGCGCGCGTCGTCAGGTCCTCGGACAAGGGAAAACAAGTTTTTTGGTCCTTTATCTACAGACCCTTTTTAATTTGGTATCGTAAATGGAATGTTTTTGGAAATAGTCCCCTAACTGAAAAAAAAAATTAACTTTTTGGTCATCTGACCGCCTATGTGGAATAATTGCAAAAAATATGTTGTTAAGGGGAATCGAACCCAGGTCCAATGGGGCACAAAAAGAGCACATGAACCACTTGAGCTAACATCAATTATGTTAACTATTTAACTTCAATTATATATCTACCAACATCTTTTTATCTAATATATATATAATATATATATATATATCTATTATATAACTTGAGCTAACATCAATTATGTTAAGTATTTAACTTCAGTTATATATCTACCAACATATTTTTATGATTTTGAATCAGAAGAGAGATTTCAAGAAATGGCAGATCTATTCACTCTATCAATAACCGAGCCGGATCTGCTGTATCATAAGGGATTTGCCTTTTCTATTGAATCCTATGGATTGGATCAAAAAGAATTCAAGGAATCCAGCCGCTGGGAGTTATGTCTGAGACCTCTGCTTTCTTTGTTAGTTCTAACATTCATTCACTCATAAACTACTGAACTTCATATGCCATTTATGTTCTGTCAGATTCACTCCGGGTATGAGAGGTCTAGTTCGGTGAGAATAGATAGGGAATATATATATATATTATATATATATTAGATAAAAATATGTTGGTAGATATATAACTGAAGTTAAATACTTAACATAATTGGTGCTAGCTCAAGTGGTTCATGAGCTCCTATTGTCCCATTGGACCTAGGTTCGAATCCCCTCAATAGCACATTTTTTCCATTTCTCCACATAAGCGCCACGTGGCATTACAACTCAGCAAAAAAAAAAAAATAAAAAAAAATTCGGGGAATTTCCACGTAGCTCAGCCGGTTACAATGACTTGATATAGGCGGTCAGAGGACCAAAAAGCTAATTTTTTTTCAGTTAAGGGACTATTTCCAAAAACAGTCCATTTACGGTATCAAATTAAAAACGACCTGTAGATAAAGGACCAAAAAACTTTTTTTTCCTCGGACAAGTCGCACGCCGGTGCACCACACTGTGCTTCATGCTATGCATGTTGCCAAGAAAGCCGAACCATCCTGTCCGCGGCTTGCGAGGCATTTGCGTGTTGCCTGGCGTCTGTGAGTTAATCGTACGACACCCGCATAGCCCCGACAATCTCGCAGGAGTGCTAACCTCTGTCGAGCACTGCCTCCGCCCCCAGCTGCCCTGCACTCAGCTGTTGATGAGTGTCGAACTACGTTGTCGATAGAAGCTAGCAACTAGCGACCTTCTCGACATAACCGCGTGCGCTACTCGCGGTCGAGCTCGCAATAGTCGAGTTGCCTAGTCAAGGTGGTCCGTTCGTCATCTTCGTCTCGGTGTTTGTCCGTGTTTATCGCATTCGTCGAAAAATTAAATGATATATTTACAATTTCGATCCTATGACCATGAAGGGCCTTACATGTTTGTTCTAGAAAGTAGTAAACTATACGATGTCCTGTCGTACGTTTAAATCTATTACAAACATTCACCAACTTAAAATTCCTCAACATGTCCGAGACTTTAAAAATATGCATAAATTAAAAAACATATATTTGGGCCATAATAGTTGGATAATATAATCCAACAAACGATAATGCATATATATGTACAAAAAATGCAGCGCTCGACGCAAGTAATTCCTAAAAAACTAATTATATTGTTGACCAATAAACTAAATTAACCTTGAGCTCTAATTCCCATTGTTGGGTCCGGTGAAGAACGTTAGTTTTGGTTCTCTAACTAAATTGTAAGAAATTAATCCTATGTGTTGCAGATCTAAAGTTTATGATCAAGATCTTACGGTTTTGTTTAAGTCGACTCTGAGACAACTTACACGGCCGGACGAACGATTCTGACTCTAGCCACACGAACTCGCCCGTCTCGCCTTGTGTCTGCTACCTCAAAGCCTTCTGTTGTATTCCATCCCCTCGGTTGGGTATCGTGTAGGCGACGATCTCCCGAACTCATGTATGAACTCTCCTTCCTCTTGCTTCTTCACGATCGTTGCCTAGCCCTATATTTATTGCTCATGCTTCTTCATGATCGTGGCCTTGCCCTATATTTATCGGGGATTAGAGTGATTTTATAATTTCTTGGCAAGAGAATGAGACCGCCACCATGGTTAATTTTGTTAGGGTTGGTGTGATTTTGTGATTCCTTGGCAAGAGAATGAGATCCCTACATGGTAAACTTATAGAATGCAATATGTAATGAGATCCCTACATGGTAAACTTATAGAATGCAATATGTAGTTAGATGGAGCAACTTTAATTGATTTGGCTCCATATATAGGATAAAGGAGCGAGTTTAGGGAGCAAATTAAGTTGATTTGGCTCCCAAAAACTAGCTAGCTATGGATTGAGGTTAGAGAGCTTGTTGAAAAAAGTTATAGACAAGTGGTGGTCGCGATCGTAGTTGCCTGGCAAATGATTTCCACAATTTCAAGAGAACCATAAGCAGATATTTTAGAGAAGATATACACAATTTGACAATCATGAACGTAAGTTGTATACACAATTGTACTCGTTCCATTTCGAAAAACACAATCGACCACAGCTTAACACGCACCGACAACAGCACCAAGTTCACGTTGATCACCACAATTTTCACGGAGCAATTTCCCAACAATGACATTAACATCGTCTAAACCAACACCTTTGCACAATGAATCCTCCTTAGCCAACTTATCCCCAAAAATCCCACTCGAAACAACCTTCACGTTAGGCCCATCCCGACACTTTCCCATACACTTGCACCCGGAGACCTCACCTTGCACCCCAACAACTCTCTCAAACTCCTCCAACAAATCCCCCGCACCCGATTTCTTACATTTTCCGCCCATACACACCTTAATCACGTGTTTTTGGCCTTCACCATTTTGTTCCAAGGTTTTCGATTCTGACGACGATGTGGCCATGGCCTGCAAAACAGGAATCGGGTCTTGTACCGACTGTTGTACGATTTCTCCACAGTCACTGCCGCACTCAGATTCAGATGAGGAAGAAGAAGAAGAAGAATACGTGACGAGGACCCCTTTCAATCTTGCCTTTTCTTCTTTCATCTTCCTCTTCACCTCTTTCCGCTCTGCTCTTAGCTTCTCGAACTGCTGTTGTAAAAGTTGTGATGCTTCCTGCGGTCAGCACCGATAAAGGGCAATCAAAATCCAAAACCAATACAGATCCAACAAAAACCCAAATAAAAACCAAAACAACAACACAGACACAATTAGCTCACAAAATTATTCTCTCTTACCGAGATTATATTTCCTTCGACTTGATCAAGCCAAGCGCCATCTGAATCCAACCCGAAGAAGCCCATCTGAGAGAGAGCGGACAAATCTCTGGACAGCCCCTTGAGCAGTTTCAGCTGCTTCTTCTTCTTCTTCTTGGCCGCCTTGTCTTCTGCAATTATCTCGTGATTGTTTCTCCCGATTGCACGCAATTTCACCCCGGCACGAGACGGGGGCGTGGAATTACAACCGTAATAATACTTCGCGTGGCTTTGGTCGCAAAATCCGGATGATGATAAGATCCCGCTCGC